ATGAATTAGTTACCCTTGTCATTTTGCAACCAACCGGTACTCGCTCTCTGCTTCTTGAGAGCACGTGGCGAAAAGTCTCCGTCATGCCAAAGACTTGCATCGTATTGGTTCCACCCAAACAAATTTGCTAAACACATAAATGATTGTCAACAAGTAACAATAGCCATTGTTATAATTTAGGAGATTAGCGAGTTCGACCAAATCAGCCTCCAACAAATCGTCGATATTCGTGACGTTGTATTGCAAACGTGGAAATTTATGCCATGTCAGCCGATGAAGTGTGTACGCATCCTACGACTGAAGCCAACGAATAATCTCTTCACGTGCGGGGCCGGGTCCTACTGCTCGCGAAAGATTTTTTATCGCAGAGTATCCTGTATAATGTGCGGGATCGTAGTAGAATTTTGCGAGATCGGTCATTCCAGTACAGTGATGTCAGATGCAATATATTGCGACGCTATAGCGCATGCATGAGATGACGTAGAGCTCTATGCCAATGGTGACAATAAAGCGCATCGCAGAGTCCATGAAGGGGCCCGCGCTATCCGATCAGCTGTCTTCCAGGCTCCAGTGTAGTTTTCCCGTGTTTCTTGCGCGAGTGCCTTATTTTAGATTATATTGTTCAGTGGATACTAAATATCAGTTACATTAACATTATAATTCCAGTGGATACTAAGTAATAATTACGTTACATTAACATTATAATTTTTCACTCAAATATGTAACTATTACATAATATTTGTATTAGACTTATATTAGACATTAGATTGAGAATTACTATCGGGCCAAATAAAATAACCACGATTTAGATTATCTAATTTACTCGATTGCAATTCTCAATACATAGTATAATACGGGTGCTATAATACCTTAAAAAAGATACGATACTGGGGCTTTTACTCAAGCAGTGAGCTCTACGTCATCTCACGCATGCGCTGTAGCATCGCAATATATTGCATCTGACATCACTGTTCCAGTATGCTCCAATTGATCAAACGTCTTTTACTCGTTGATTTAAAAGCATTCACGCGCGTTTTACGCCTGTATTGGTCGGAGGTTATAAACGTTGCGTGTACACGTCCACTGTCGCGTTCTTCCACAAGAGACGTCTACCCAATAGTACGTTTGCACGTTCGTCCCTTCGCTAGTGAAAGTCGATGTGCATAGCTGTTAGCCGCCGAAGAACCTATACACAATTCTAACGGATTCCAATCTATCACATGTCTTTTACTCATGGATTTAGAAACGTCACCGCCCATTCGCGTTTTATTTCTATTCTCATTAGTTATTACAACGCACGTCCATCCTCCTGATCCTTCTTCTCAAGTAACGTCTGGTCAATCTTACGTTTAGACCAAAGTTGGTCGTTAGGTGACGGGAGTAGGGTGCTGCTATCTCTTAGAAGAGTTTCTCTCAATCTCGAGAAAAGATTATTTTCTTCAGTTGCCGCGTCTTCTTCCAGTAATTCCCGATTTCCTACAAATTCCGGAGGAGTACCTACTTCACGCAAAAGTCGTGCAAATTGTACTCTCGCTATTGCTGTGGTGGTTTTTCGCTCACGAGTTGCGTTCAAGAGGTCGACGATATCCGATCCTCTCAGAATTCTATCATCTATAATCACGACTTCTTGTCTGTCCCAACTCAATCGACCGGGTACCGCCACATCACACAAATGTGTCAGCAGCTTGTGTGCTTTGGCTCGATAACTCTTCGGCACTTTATTCAGTATTCTTCCGATGCTTTGCTGTTCGTTCGTGCGATATGACGACTACGTGCATCTCGCACGCGTTGAAAAACGCTCAACGTTCGATGTACGTCAGTCTCTAAGTTAGGAATATCTTCATTTACATCCATACCGGCGTTTTTTTCTACCGCTTCCGTTTGCGTAATTGCCACCTTCGTGACGGATATTTTCCCCATATTCACCGTTTTCATCATCGTCGACCTCATCAGCAACAACGGGTTTATCTTCTTTTTTACCGCTTAATAGGCGTTTCTCCCGCTCTCGAAAAATGTACAGATATCGCTTAAGTACTTTTCTATACAGTCTCCATTTTTCCCGTGCTCCTCCAAGGACTGGAGAGTTAAGAATTCTATGCATCTCGGCGTCAAGACGCGACAGGATGGAACAGTAGTACGCACCGTATTTTCGTTCTCTACTGATGCTATGTTTATCCCAGTTGCGGCATTATCTGCCAAAACAAAGAGAATCGTAGACGAGGAAGACGAAGATGACGCAGAGGCCGACGATGTATGAGCCCGTTGCTGCAACCTCTCGAGATTATCCATAGAAATCAATACCATTTTCTTGGCTCTTTCCATGGTTCACGTTTTTGGCTCTTTCCATGAATCTACGTTTAAGTAGCACGCATGACTTGCTTTCATCTCTCGTTACGATGTTGTGAAACGCGGTACGTCGAATCGCTCTAAAACGTAGATTTATCGAAGTTTTTCTCGCATTCTCCTCCTCCTTGTTCTCATCTATAATTTTATTGGTGATTAATAACTTTTTTATACTACAATGTTAAAATTAATATATTTCGAAGTCTCAAAGTTCAAGCTTATCTTCTTTACTTCGCAAACTTCGTGGGTTTTACCTTGTGGAGTATGTATGACATAGAAATAAAATTTTGGGCCTCCAGATACGAAGGATTCTATCTAGCTAGCTTGACCATAACTTTCGAGCTCATCCATCATATCGCCAAAAAAATTACTTATACGCGGTTCGTACGCATTGGGGTCGCCAGTGCTCAAGTATATATTGGGTTGGTCAATAAGTCCGTGCGGTTTTTCTCGATAGATGGCTTCAAGGCGCTCTGCTAAGCTTTATCTTCAGTCGAAAGTTTTGAAAGCGTATAGTCATTGACAGATGACATTTCAACGTGCATTTAAAAAATATACGTAAATATTGCTTATGTATCTTATGTGTTTTGCGTCATCTGAAAATGGATAACCAGAATGAGCATTTTCGGCATATTATGCTTTTTTATTTTAAAAAAGGTAAAAACGCGGCGCAAACTTGTAAAAATATTTGTGCAATATATAGTGAAAATGTCGTAAAAGAACGCGTGTGCCAAAAATGGTTTGCGAGATTTTGTTGCTAAGATTTTTCTGTCAAAGATAAACCACGCTTAGGCCGACCAAATGAGATCGACAGCGACAAACTGAAGGCGGTAATCGACATCAATCTACACTACACGACGCGGGAGATTGCAGACGTTCTCCAAATATCAAAATCAAGCGTGGAAAATCATCTGCATTAACTGGATTATGTTAGCCGTCTCGATGTTTAGGTTTCGCACGAATTGAGCGAAACTCATTTAATCTAACACATTTCCATCAGCGATTCACTCGGAAAATGCGAGAAAAGCGATCCATTTCTGAAGCGTATGATAATGGGTGACGAAAAATGCGTCGTGTATAATAACATCAAGCGCAAAAGATCGTGAGGGCAGCGCAGCCAACCGTCACAAACCACTTCGAAGGCAGGGCTTCACCCGAGCAAGATCATGCTCTCAATTTGGTGGGATTGGAAAAGTGTTGTGTTCTACGAGCTACTTCCGAAGAACAAAACGATCAATTCAGATGTATATTATAGTCAGCTAGATAAGTTGAATGCAGCAATCCACGAGAAGCGTCCAGAATTAGTGAATTGTAAAAGTATCATCTTTCACTATGACAACGCTAAGCCGCACACATCTTTACAAACCTGGCAAAAATTACTAGCGCTAGGCTGGGATGTCTTTCCATATCTTCCGTATTCTCCAGACATTGCACCTTCAGATTACCATCTGTTTCACCCCTTCAAAATTCCTTGAATGGAAAGCACTTCGTTTTTAAGGAAGCTGTCAAACGACACTTAGAACAGTTTTTTGCCCAGAAAGATAGGAAGTTCTTTGAACGAGGAATTATGAAGCTGCCCGAAAGATTGCAAAAGATAGTAGATAACAACGGTAAATTACATAATTGATTAAACATAATTGATTAAAGTTATTACCAGGGCCGTTAAACTCCCATGTATATTTAGCGTCCAACGTTTGTGACGCTCTCTGAAATGGGACATTTCTTCGGTGGTACTAAAATTCAATATGGCGTCATGTGTCAATGTGTGTGTATGTATAGCTGTCTATGCACACATATTAACACGTATGTGCATGTAGTATATATAGGAAATACGAGGAATATTAATGCGAAGTAAAAATGCAGAAAATAATGTGTATTTTGTGAAATGTATATATTTGACGAAAAAAATGTAAATATGTATACCAGCAAACGATGACTTTCAGCGGCTTTTTTCTTTTGATTAAACAAGAAAAATAATGCGTGCCGCAAATGCACGTTTTCAGGCACAAAACTCGACATTTTCAAAAAATTATTAATCTATAACGCTGTTATTTTGGCGGAACGTAACTTGTGTAGTTTTGAGGTTAATGTCAGTAGAATAAAATGACATATGTATCAAATCATAACATTGCAAACTTATGGCTAGTGACATCTGTTACAAAAACCGGAAAGTAATTACCGACATACCTGGTACATAAAGAAAATATTAATACCTTAAACATAAATACAAGGACAATAATTTGTTAATAATACTAAATTTTATAATAATATTAAAAGAAATTTGTAATAAAATTGTATATTATCGCTGTCCCTAAAATGGTTGTAGCATACTCATAACTTTTTCTCTTCAGCTCCTTCCACTGGCTTCATTTTCAAATTCTTGAACCATTGTAGCCTACGTTCAGCATTTTGTGGGAATTTATGCGATGGTGCTGTCTTCCCTGTCGAACATCCTGGTACACAACATACTCGTACCATCTTGATCCCGCTGTTATGAGACCTATAAAAAAAATAAACCTATATTTAGTTAAACAGATATTTGCATCATCAGTATACAATATTACAGTATCATGCATACTCAAATAAAACAAGTTGTTTGTCGCTAACAAGGAAAAGATTTTGGTGGTTCTTGAGTAACTGTTTCTTCTTGTTTTTTCTTCTTCCCTTGTTGAAGTCTTCTTGTAGTCCTTCTGCAAGAGAGAGAGAGAGTACATAAATATCTTCATAAATTATATATATATATATAGAGTAGATTCCATGAAGAAATTTTAGCTATCTATGCCTGCATGCAGCTCATGTTCAAAAAGCAACCAGCTAATATAATATGATTTGACATTACGTTCAAGGATAGTCATAACATATTCTTTTTGTTTTCAGTCATCAATCTGCTGAAATAGCTCGTACACAAGGTGTATCAAATTATTTAGCAGCAGATTAACAGCAGAAACTAAGCGCAAACTTCATGCAGGCATGCATCGCTAAGAATTTCTACAATCTTTATCAAACTTGCTCTTGTTATGTTAGCATATTGCAAAGCTTATTTTTATTTTTTACTTATTAGTCTCTATTAGTAAAAAGTGGACAATTATACTAATGCATAATATTTATATATAAATAGAATACAATATATAAAAACAAAACTTACACTTTGATTGTCGTTACTAGCAGTAATAAAAGTTTTTCCTTCTCGCACCTGCTTCTTCTCGTGCTTCTTCCTCGTAACACCTCTTCTTCGTAACACTTTTTTTTTCTTATTGAAGGCTTAAAGCACTAAAGCATTAAAGCGAACGCAACTGTAGCAATATGGCGGCCACAAATTAGTTCCGATTTCTCACATGTCCCATCTCAGAGAGCGCTGCTAATGTTAATCATTTTCGCTTCATAAGAATTTGCACGTCCTGGTTATTACCTACTATATAAATAATCATCGATCATTTATAAATAAAAAACCGCACGGACTTATTGGCCAATACATGAATCAGTATCATAATATAATACTCGACGGTCTAATTTTTCTAAATAATCTTCAAGCGCGCCTGTGCCGTCATGTAGGCAGCTATTACGACGTTTGTAGTTGCAAAAGGAACAAACGTCTCTTGTCGTAGTCGCCACGAGACGTAGAGAACCTCATGGTTCACGGGCAATAAATTTATGATTTCATAGCCAAGATTCGTGAGCAGCGACATGAAATGTTCGTATGTCTTAACGACCTCGGTATTTGGCAGATTGGATCGCTGACGATTCGCAGAACGAATTGAGGCAAAGCTTTGCAGTCCCTGATTTACCGCAATGTTGCTCCTGTCGAGAACAATATCCTCTGTTTTTTCATATTCCCGCAGGTATCGCTCTTTGGCCTCTTTATCGTCGGTGCATTCAGCAGGCCATCCGCTAGTCTCCTGCTTAAGTTGCAGGAAGCAGTTGATATATCTCGCGAACATACCTCCCTGCCGAGTACTTAGGTCATATTGTGAAATCTGATATTTCCATATCTCGCTCACGGGCCTGACGCTATAGCCCTTCTCTATAGCTTTCCGTAATTCACAGGATATCCAGGTATATTCGAATGCTCGATCGGCCGGATTATCATGCGTGTACGAAGATTGAGAAAATGTCTCGCTGCAACTACGGCATAGGACGAACATTTTCCATGAACGCGAAATGAGAGTGAAAAAGGCAACAGAGTGAAAGAGATTATGCGGAGCGAGTACATTTCACTGCACGATCCCCTACACTCTGCTAAAGTCAAAATCGGGGGCTATACCAATCAAGGCGGAACATTCTTCGTCCACGTACACATCCAGATGACTGAGCGGAAAAAAGCCCATCTTTAGCACAAACGGGTACAAGGAGCATACGTCTACGTAACGTATCTTCTTCATATCCGTAACATTGTACCGGGTGACGATATTCCCTGTGCGACCATCGAAGAACGCTTCGCGAGGATCGAGAGGCTCAGTTTCTAATATCGAATGATTCGCAAGGAATTCGCATATCGGTTGATTGTCCTGCAGCTCCCGATCGAAAACGCACTCCCACTTCTCCGTTACGACATAACCTAGCTTCTGTAGACGAGATGTTGTTACGCGTGTACGCTCATATCGCGAGTCAATCGTATCCCCTTTTACGGTAGTCGAGAGCAAGCTATCACGATTCACCCTAAAACACACGGGACATCCATGCCAAAAACACCTCTGAAATTGCAGCACGTGTCTGCGCAGGGTCGTTGCCTCGTAATATCTATCGACGAGCAGCCCTTCCGCTATGCAGTGTTCGCGAGATCTACCCACATGCGTTATAGTATGATCGAGCTCGCGCTCTATCGACAATAATTTCAACGCTTTGCGGGATTGATTGTTGACACGCCGATATCCACCCGAAGGAATAATACCTATCTCCTTTTCACGCAGAAAGTTTTTACGAAAAACTCTAATGCACGTAGAGGCGATGGTTGTGCATTCTTCGAACGGATATACTATCAAAAAATATCCGTGATCAAAAAATATCCGAACTTTATTTTTTAAAATAAAAATTATAATTCAATCATCAAAACTCTTATAGTCTCTTTCAAAGTAGTCCCCATTGTTTGCATCGTACATATGCCAGCGTTTGATCCAGTCCTGGAAACATCGCTTATATGCGGCAGACGGTATGGCTTTCAATTTACGCAGCGATTTTTCTTTGATGTCCTCAATCGATCCGAAACGCTGTCCGCGAAGTGGTTTTTTCAATAGGGGAACAGGAAAAGTAGCAGGGGGCCATGTTTGGTGAATACGGTGCTAGCGGAGCAACATTTGTTGAGTTTTTATCAAAAATTCACGCACAATGTCAAGGTATGCGATGGTGCATTGTCGTGATACAAAATCCACAAGTTTTCCTACAATTCCGGTCGTTTTTTACGGATTGTGTGCTGGCACGATCCAAATGATATTTCAACTTCATCTACTATCTTTCGCACAATCAATCGACAATTTTGGAGCACCAATTCTTTTACTTTCTCAATGTGAACGTCATCCGTTGACGTTGATGGTCTTTCAGAGCGCGGGTCGTCTTCAACGGTTTCTCGTCCTTTTTGAAATTTCTTAAACCACTAAAACTGTTTTCGATAAACAATTATCGCCATAAGCTTTTTGCAACATTTTGAATGCATTTGTGAACGAAATTTTGTTCGCAACACAAAATTTCAAACAAATTCTTGCTCCATACTTTTCAACATCGTAAAGATCACCATACACAACAATCTTCACCGACATAAACAACTGTCACTTTTAAACGGCTTGAAGGAACGCCATGATTCTTTCACCAAATATGAAGGACATGTGTACCAACTTAAGAAAGCAAATAAATTTCATTTATAGTTTACCCGCGATTTTTTAAAAATAAAATTCGGATACCTTTTTTATCACAGTAGTACTTTTCCACGATTCAGAAAAATCTTACGAAACGTGAGACTAGTCCGTCGAAAAATATCGTCATCGTTCCGGCAGTAGCTCACAATTTCCCGTTGGAAATAAAATTCTATGTTTTTGCGCACCATGTCTTTGTGCCATTCTAAAAACTTCTAAAAACACACTCATGCGGCTTCATCGTTTCGGGAGAATAATATATTGCATCGGGTATCGGTCCGTTGTAATGTTGATTTTCGACAGTGTTAAATAAATGCGGAAATAGTCCTTTGCTAGCGGTATCCTTTAACCTGATGGCTTTTGATAATGCCGACAAGCGCATAAGCATATAATTAACATTGTCAATAAATTTTGTTTGCCCGATGATTAACAATATAATTTTCGTACCATTTAAAATAAGCTTTAGTTACCGCTCTCGACCAAGTACCGCAAACGACTACAGTCACTGCAAACTCTCAGGATACTACAGATGTTCGAAGATGAAACACCTTGCCGCGATTTTTGTGTGCGATGACGCTCGAAACACACCGGCCCGTAAAATTCACGTTGACACGCGACACATCGTATTGCTTCTACGCCTGATTCCTCACACGCTGAAACGTCGTGACATCGCGGACATACGTTTGAGTATTGATGCTCCTTTTCCAGCTTATAAATATAACCTCTATTACAACGTACGCAATAATCTTGACTGCCCGATGCAGTTCTTAAATTTAATATCGGCCTGTAATGACGTGAATTTTCGTAATACATAATATTTGGCGTTATCTTGGCTTAGCGACCGAGAGAGGCGAATACGCTAATACCGTCATACATGGAGGGCTTACCACGTGCGAAGGAAGTAAAGTAATAAACGACAATTGCGATATTGTCGTTGGCGAGATAATGTTGGAAACGCTCGATCTCGAAAATACCGTCCCCTTCTTCACGCATATTGACACCGACTTTTCGTGTCAGCTCGACGGCCAGATCTCATAGCACAGAATTTTGCCTCCTCACAGAATTCCATTTATCATGCATTGCTCCCGTGCGCACATTGCCGCATTCATTGTACACTATCGCAGCGACGAGCGAACGGAGAAAGCACAAATTGTTGAAGTTATCTATGGTAATCGAGCGTTTCGCTATATCTTCACGACTTAATTTATTCAATTTCTTTCCATGCCCAGAAGATGCCGCAACATTGAAAATGCTAATTTCAAAACGATCTAAAATATTACAATATAAAATATTGTGACCTCCGGCACTGTGTACTAACGAACTCACGAAATTCCAAATCTCGGTGTAGGTCAAGTACCAAACCGGACGAACCCGACTAGAATTTTATCAAGTCCGTCTGATTCAGAACATAGTAACTAGAAAGTAATGGCTAGATACAGTTTTCTAGCCTAGTACTATCTCGTTATTGCGATTTAACTGGCTGATATCTAGTGATATTCGTGAAACATCGTATGCGAAATTTTTCAAGAATACGGGCTCTGTTCTTTTTAGCTGCACTACTGAACAGATGCAATAAATTAAAGTAAGAAAAAATATAGTTGTCTCATTCTAACTTATTGCATTAGTTCCGCAGTGCAGCTAAAAAGAACAGACTAATGAATAGGCCGACGTCTCTGGGTGATTCTGAAGTGCTCAAAGTTGAGTTGAGTTAGTTCCACTACCCGATTAGAATTTCACCAAGTCCGTCTGATTCAGAACATAGTAACTAGAAAATATTGGCTAGGTATAATTTTCTAACTTAGTACCAGGTCGTTTCTGATTGAGTATTTATAATCAGATGTTGCGATCCAGTTGGTATCTGGTAATCATATAGAAAATATGATAATAGATGGCGCTGCTTTTCTAAAAAAATATAATCTAGTTACCATGTAGCTATCAGCAGTTTGAAATTAGTTAGCAGCTGCAAAAAAAGGTTATGTTCGTACATTACAGTATGTCTAATAACTGCCTAGTGAGCCCGGCTCCTGAAGAAGTGGTCGGATATGCTGTCCGATCCCCGGGTGTCCGGGCTCCAAACGGCCGAGGCTGTCCGTCCCTGCCTGCCTGAAGTGGTAGGCAGGGTGGGATGCGGACTCACCTTCCATCTAGTGCAGGTGCTGACCGGGCACGGTTGCTTCGGTCTGCACCGGATCAGGAAGGAGCCCACCAACCGATGCTACCACTGCCTGGGATTGGAAGACGCGGCGGAACACACCCTGACGAAATGTCAGGCGTGGACTCTACAACGCCGTGTCCTCGCCCGAGCGGTGGGGTGCCGGGAGGAGGAGCTCTCGCTCCCGCGCATGGTCAAAGTCATGTGCAGGAGCGAGGAGGTTTGGGGGGCGGCGGCCTCCTTCTACAAGGATGTGATGTCCAAGAAGACCGCCGAGTGGGAGCGCCGCCCGGGAACCCGCCGCAGGGAGAGGTGGGAAAAGCGGCGCTCCCCGGGTATGGGCAGTGAGTTCGAGATGGCGCCGGCCGAAGAGAGCCACCGGTTGATCGGGAGCCCCTTCGGCCAACTCGGGCTCGTCTCCGTCCATGCGGGGGAAGTCGGGGTTAGTCCGACTTCCCCCTTCGAGTCACGGACAGGGTAGGAAAGGAGCGAGTGGTAGCCCGTTTGGGGACGGGCTCCATTCCCCTGCCCCCCTCCTTTAGAGGGTAGATAAGAAGGGCGCGGAGGGAAGGTGGATGTCCCCTCCCTCCAAGTAAAAATCAGAAGGCCAACCCGGCCGGGAAACCGGTCGGTGTCCACGCCCTGGACTCCCTGAGTGGGACAGGGCTCGGTACTCGAGGCGAGGGGCTGCCGGAGAGCCCTGGAGTCGGGGTGTCGGGGAGGGAATACGGGAGTAGTTCCCCTGACTCCCCCCACCACGGTCCGAATGGTAGACATCCCGCAGAGGTTTCAGTCAGTAAGAGTCTGACATAACCTCCGACCCCCCAAAGGGTCGGGGGTATTCATGATGGATTTTCCCTGCGTTATAAAAAAGAAAAAAATAACTGCCTAGTCAGCTTACATAAATATAATTCTATTTATACAGAAATATATCTATTGATTATCTAGTAGTAACACATCTAGTAATAACACAGTTATTATGAGTGAGTAATACAAACGAGAGAACTGTTTTGTTTAGCCATGATCTGCATTTTAAATAACTACGTTAACTCATTTATTTATGTAGTTAATGAAATGATTAAGTTTTAAATGTCTACTTACGCATTAGAAAATATATTTCGACAATAATACAGTAAGACATAAATTGTTTGGTCTACGACAAGATGATCCTGATATTTTAATATCCGCTCAGGATAACTTTACTTCCTCTTTAGACTAGTGCCTTTTCGAAAAACTTGTATACACTGGTATAATACGCTAGAGTGAAACATAATGATTTCATTTTAATTAAATGCATCAGTGTGAAACATAATGATTTCATTTTAATTAAATGCATCAGTGTGCATTAATCCATCAAGGTCTGCGAAAAAGAACAGACTGTTTGTAACCGATATAGACAACACAGCACTGATGTATTCACTACATATCTTTTGCGTTCTATAATAGCGCCATCTGTAGTGATGCTGACTAGGCAGTTACTAGACATAATGTAATGTACGAACATAACCTTTCTTTTGCATCTGCTAACAAATTTTAAACTGCTGATAGCTACATAGTAACTAGATCGTTTTTTAGAAAAGCAGCGCCATCTATTATCGTATTTTCTATTGATTACTAGACACCAACTGGATCGCAACATCTGATTACAAATACTCAATTAGTAACGAGCTAGTACTAGGCTAGAAAACTGTATCTAGCCAATACTTTCTAGTTACTATGTTCTAAATCAGACGGACTTGATAAAATTCTAGTCGGGACTTTTCTTTTCCTTATAAGAAGCCTGATGGACCAGGCCCAAATCATTTGAGTTTCTTCAATTTTAGTACTCATTTCGTTGCGACAAAATGTATTAGTTCTCGTGTTTTTGCCTGGGAGATAACAAGTTCTTGTGAGAAGTAATGGTGTAGAAAAGTATGTAAATAACAT